GGGGGGCCCTAGAATAATGTCTAGAGATTTGAGGCTTTAAATCTTTATTCCTTTTCTTTGCCTTTTGATTTGCTTTACTTACCATTGAAATTGCAGGTCTTTGGATTGAGATTTCCATTGAAATTTAAACAGTTAGTTCTATTTCCATTGATTCATTCCCTTTTATTGTAATTAATATTCCAGATGTCTTCAAAGATAGGAATTATTATTTCCTTTTAATTTAATATTGCCAGAGTAGCTCCAGAGGTAGCTAGCTAAGGATCATTTGATTATCAACTGATTGATTTTCTTATACATTATTTTGGAGGCCTTGGTTGTTGAGGGGGGGGGCGGGGGGTTTATAAATCAAGGGACTACATTAGTTGCTTACAGTAAGTAGCAACATAATTGTAGCAAACTCCTAGAGTGCACAGGGCCTTCTACACCCACTGCGCCTTGGTGCCTGAAAGAACGCGACACACATTCTTGAATTCTTCTCAGCGTCCCAATGTAGCTTGCGGCAACGGTCAAATCAATGATTGACGCTGCACACAGCCTCTTCTGTAGGGTCTCAAGGCTCCTCACATTTTCTGGACAATTGATGGTACCTGACACTGTTCAGTTGTATATGCACAAATGCAGGCGGTTGTTCAAGCTCCTAGCATGTGAAGTATATACATCTCCAATCTGGGGCACTGATCGTGATCAAGCTCGCTGCAATGCCGGCGGATGCAATGGCTGCAGTCACATCCACCGCGCACTTTGCCTTTCCTTGCTTGCCTCTCTCAGCGAAGTTGGTGGCCTTGCACAGAGCAGCAAGAAGGGCCTTCGGAACATACACTCCGGTCCAAAGACTGGTCTGCTTGATCAAGGGAAATATATGGAACGAAACATGTCCGGAGTCTGGAGATTTGCACCTGTTTCTCACGGGCTATGGCATCAAAACGCCTCAACCCAACAATGCCTAACTCCACTTGGCCGAGTGGCCCCACAGTCTTGCACGGCCATGGCTGAATGCACAGCCGCTTGTGCAAGTCGAGCAGCAGATTTTTGGGTGTCCAAGGCACAGGCAGCTTGCTCCCACTTGCGCTGGTCTCGACTGATCCTCAACGTTGTTCTCAAGACATCACCGGAAATGGAATCGCGTACATTCACTGGCTGGTCTACTCCAGAGCTCTAGTCCCTCACTCACCCCCTGAAGCAAAGCACATGTTGCCTTGGCCAAGGCACTTCAAGTCATAGATCTTTTGACCAACGCTCTTCATCATTCTTTTCTTCAACGCCAAGCACTTGAGGTTCTATAGTCAAACCTGCATGTGACTCACCCTGGAGTGACTCCCAGGTTTCAAAATCAAAAAAGAAGAACTCTTCTTTTCCTCTACATCCAAGGGTTCCCAGCTTCAGGAGTTGGCTCTTCGATCTCCTCGTCTCCATTTTGGCCTCCGATCTTCTGCAGCAGCTCGTTGGCCCTCTTCTTCAGGTACTCGGCATCCGACTCCAAATCGGCCTAGATCAACGATGCATCCCCATGCAACAGCTTCCAAAAAAGGTCCACCAAGACAAGCCATGCAAAAGGCTCAAATTGGCAGGACTGTAACATGTGTCAGACTCATGTGTCCACTAAATTGATCGTATTCTGCTGAATGGGACGAGCGCCCGGGGGCGCCTTCTGCTTCTCAAAGGGCGCCCCAGGCAGTTCCGTGAACTCCTCCAGGCGCCGGGTTCCAGCGCCAATGGCGAAGTTCCGCTTCTGACGGTCCCGGCTTTGCGTTGCTTGGAACGCTTCGCTCCTGGGAGGGCGGACAGGACGGAGCCGGAGGAGGGAGGACCGGACCGGACGGACTGGACGGAGCTCCTCCCAAAAGACTCCGTCTCAAAATGAGGCGTGGCGAAGTCTTTAGACTTCAAGTGGGAAAGTGTCATTCCTGCAAATATGGTCCGGGAACTCTACGGTTCACATATTCACTCAGCATCTTGTCAAAAGTCTTGATTGGATGTCATCATGTCTTGCTCGTGGGTGGGGGAGGGCAATCGGATACATGTATATATATATATATACACACACATATATATATATATATATGTACATACACATACACACGTGCAAAATACCTCGTGCCTGCTATCGATGCAACCACATCTTGCTTACATAGATTTGTAATATGTGTGTATAGCATGCATATGTACAATACACATCTGCCTCATCTACCTATTTCTAACAAGAAGCCCAGATTGACCAATAAGCAATAATTAGCATCAACTAGCTGCGAGCCTTTAGACTTTCTATGGGTGTATCCAAGCCAAAGCTAAAGACAAGCCAACCCCAAGCTAACCCTCCTAAATAAGCCCAAACTAGCCCGTGAGAAAAGGATATATAACCCCGATCGTTCCACAACCAGACCCAACCGATGGCAAGATTTCCAACGTAACAATGACAACCCAACACAAGCGAGGGTTGTGCAGCAACAAAACACAAGGGGTGGCGGTGACATATTATGAACCTTGTGATTCAAGATTTACCTTTGTACGTAAATTTTTCCAGTGGACCACCGAAACATAGAGACAGCTAGTCAAAGACACAGAACATACAGTGACAGACAACAAACGGACGAACGGATAGACGGACTGACGGACAAGCAAACATGGAATATGAGTGAAGGACAAAACACCATGTGAACTGCTGTATTGAGATCAAATGACCTTGGGCATGACAAGGTAAATGTTCAATAACAGTATGTAACAGAAAAAGTGAAGTTTGACGCACATGGATTGACGCATGTGCACAGGCTTGTCACCCAAGTAGTCTACTCGTTATGAATCCATGGAGGAAGAGCACAACTCTGACCCCCCTACTGGCTTCTCATGCCACGGTTCTCCCGGAGTTTTTCCACAATTTTCTTGAGAAGGGCAAGCTCCTGAGCTCAAAATTTGCCAATCAGCCACCACACAAACAAAAGCTAGAAATAGGTAAAACAAACCCGCAATCAGTATCTCAATGTTCAAAACACTTCCAGCGTGCTGCCAGTGCAGTCACAGCCCAGCGTCTTTCTTAGTGAAGTCGCGCCGAAGTGCCGGATCTGCTGTAATCGGAGGAGGAGTGGTTTCTGCAAGAAGGTTTCTGCGTGTTTCAAGAATGTAAAAGTAAAGCTCGGCGATCACAAGGATCGCATCATCATTACAGAAATCAGCTAGGGCAAGCAAAACTCTAAAACTTTCCACTCTTCAACCTGTTTTTGCCAAACAGTTTTAGAAACCTTGAACTATGTGGGATCATATGACTTTGAGCCTTCTTTTAAACATCCCGCCTTTGTAGCCACCAGGTGGCAAACAGTTTTGCTTCATCCCTGCGCCGGCGGAGGCGGCCAAGAAGGAGTTCCTGACATCTGCCGAATCTCCGCCGCTACCGCAACGCCCGTTGGTCCCAACGCGGTGTGAACGGCGGAGAGTCTCGGAGGGGGTTTGTTCCAGGGCTGTTTGGTATGGGTGTCGTTCCGCAATCAGTGTTTCACGGCATCGGTGTTGGGTTTGTCTCGCAAGCGTCGTCAACAAGCCAGTTACATCAAGAGAACAGCCAGCATTGAGATTGAACTCTGGGCCGCAGGAGGAGACCATGTCCTCCGAAGGAACAGCAATGCCAAGCTCAAGCCGCTTTCGGCCACTGTCAGAAAAAGCTGCTCAACGATGTAAGCAAAAAGCTGGGGGTCATCCCTCTCTCTCTCTCTCTCTCGCTCTCTCTCTCTCTCTCTCTCTCTTTCAGCACTGGCAGCTCCACTCTCAATGCGCAACTCAGACTAGGCCCCTAGGTGTGTCCATGTCATGCACTCCTCAATGAAGCAAGCCAAATATCCCCAAAGTGCCAAATTCAGAGAGACCAACCCGCCACAGAAGTCCTGTCAGGCCACCCAGGTGAGCATAGATTGATGCTTTCATGCAGCCAGATTTTGGTACAAACATGTTTGATCATTTTTGTATGCGAGCCGTCCAGTCGTCCTGTTGCTCGGGGTTTTGTGGATAAGGCGACTTGCAAGCATCGACCAAGGCGTGAATATTCGTAGCAATCCTCAGCCAGCAGCACCAGGTCTCCAATGGAGGGATCACCAGGTCTGGACCCAATCACCAATCCCCCCCTCTTCATTCACCTCCGCGCATGTGGGAATAACCATGTTACGAGCATCAGGGAACCCAAAACAGTGTCGAAGTCCCCAGTTGAACCCTGTTACGAGCATTGGCGACCTGTTACGAGCATTGTCGCCAAGAGTCTGACCAATCGTCAAAGCAGACTGGTAGGCATCAATGGCACACATGCCAATGTTCAATTGCTGCCTCAGGCCAGTTAGACCCTCCCTCCGAAGCTGGAACTTGCCAAACCTCCAAAACCAAGGAACATGTAGCTCAGGTCCATCACAGGAGTTTCCTCTTGAAGCATTCGGAGCTTCTGCATGGTCACGTTGGGGTGCACCACACTTGGCGAGAGAGCGACAAGTGCTTGTCCAGAGTTGGGGAGGGAACCCAGTCAGTCGAATGTGAAAGCATCTATTTCAATGAATTCATCTGTGGGACGATTGTTCGCTGAACATGCACGTCGGGAAAGGTAAAGAAACACAACCATCGGCGCTTGGGTCCGATGTGCCCAACCCAACGACGGCAACAAAACAATGGTACAGAAAACAAGAAATGAAGTCGAGCACGCCTTAGCACGTATTGAACTGACAAGAAGCTGTTTGGGCTTGGACTTGATATTGCTGGGATCGGAGTTGTCAATGTCCAGATACTTGACCTCCTTGAAGACACTTCCATCTGGAAACATGTCCTGCACAACAGCGCACGAGACATTACATTTCATCCAAGGACCGTTCTGACCAACCTAATGTTCTAGTAGTTGGAGAGGAGGCGTCCTGAAAGACATTGAGGAGGTCCTGAATATCACGCTTGTCTGGGAATGGCAGCTTGGAATGCTCTTCCATGCTTGGCCCATGTGCATTCGTGACGGCTTTGAATTGCTCGCGATGCAAGTAGACATATCCAGCCGTGACTGACAAGCTAGATGCCAACAGAAGAGTCACAGCGCTGGCAATCACCATGCCACGGCGGCTGGTGCTCTTGCTTGCCATCCATTCACCTGCCACCAAGGGTGCCTCCTGCTCCACGTCTGCCATTGCTCCAAGCTTCGGATCCGATCAACTCCGTGAAGTGGAGCCAAAATGGCTGCAAGACACAGCCAGTTGAAGCCAATCGCCTATCAGGCTCTCAGCTTCGGGCGCTTCGTGCGACTGCACAAACCATGACAGCGAGAAACTCTTCCAACTCCCAACTCGCGAGTGTGCCGCTTCGGCCGCGGTCCCGGCACTTAAGAGTCAGTGCTCAACTCTCACCACTCTCACACTACTCACTGCGCTCCCTTCAGGAAGGCTTTGGCATCGAAGAGTGCTTCCACCTTTTAGGCGTTCGAGTTGGGCTACGCTTTTGGGGGTATGTTTTGCCGTTTTTATGTGGACGTGTTTCTTACTGCTAGGGTTTTGAAATGGTGTAGCAGGAGTTTCTGGTTGCTTTGGGTTGGTTTTGGCAAGATGCTCGGGTGAACATCTCAGGGATTTGATCAAATAGTGCCCCTGCGTAGGGAGGAGAGCTATTTGCACGCATCATGTCCTGGCAAGAACTGTTTGGTGTTTGAGTTGGTTGTGCCTTGGATGGGTTGAATGCTGGGTTGGGGGGTGAGCCAGGTCTCCCCATAAAGCGGCTTAGCTTTGGCTTGTTGAAAGCTGGACGGGGTAGGGGGGCTGGGGTGTGATTTGGTTTGGTTTTGGATTGATTCTGGCTTGGCGTAGTTAGTTTAAAGCTGGATGGGGTTGGGGGAAGGGCACCGCGCCCTCCAGAAACGAACCAAAAACAAACGTCAGCAAGGAGACTGCAGAGGGGGCTATCCCCATGCGTCTCCCCCAGAAGCAAAACAAATACAGAAATCTGCAAGCAGACTGACTCGCAGCTAGCAGTCTGCCCACAAAATCGTTTTGTTTGGTTTGGCTTTAGGTGGGGATGACTTTTCCTACCATGGGTACGCTCCACCCAGCGCTTCAAAGCACTCAGATTGAGTTCAGGCCCTTGGGTGAGAAGCATTATCATTGTTTTGTGCGAAACATATCCTCGCCTCCCTTGCTCCCTTGCTCCCTCCTTCCTTCCTCCCTCCCTCCGTCCTTCCGTCCTTCCTTCCTTCCTCCCTTCCTCTCTTCCTCTCTTCCTCTCTTCCCTTCCCTTCCTTCTGCACACTTATTTACAGTATATAATATATATATATAATGTTGTGCAAAAAATACAGGATCACCTTCGAGTTAGCTTTCTGGAAGCCTTTCATCTTCCACCACCATTTCTCCGTTCCTTAATTGCATCATATACCTCTAAGAAAGAAACACATGCATGTATGTACGGTTTGGTACACATAATTGCTGCTAAAAGCAAGACGTACGCATCGTACGCATGTCTGTATGCCTTCGAAACTATGTCCAGCACTTCCCAAGAATGCAGCGGCAAGCGCTGGCCTCCTCTCCACGTGCCTTTTGCCGCGTGTCAAAGTTTTGCAGGGTGAAGTCGCAAGCCTTGTCACCAATTGACAATCAGAACCACCGCTCGGGGATGTTGATTTGGGGAATCGGTCGCTGGCTCTCTCCCAGAACAATCATTCATGGCAATGGGGAGTCATTATATACGATATATATATATATATGCGCCATATCACTCCAGCCGGCCAAAGGCCTACAGTAAAAGGATGGGGCACCAGGGCCCTTCCGGGGTAGAACATCTCTCTCTCTCTCATTCAGAAGCGTTCGCCTCATGCAACTCCAGCTTGGTATCTGCGAGGTTGCTCACCTCACGCAGGTCCAAGTGCCCATCAAGCGACATCATTCACAATTGAAGACCCACAAAAGAAGCCACCTCGCCCATGTGACATGAATCAGAGGTGGGGGCAAACAATTAGCGACACAACCCTGCAAGTTGCCGAGACGATGATGCCACAGGTCTCTTCAAGCCTCTTGTTCAACACCCTTCTGGGACTTCCGGGTCATCACCAACTTCTCCTCCATCTTGGCTTGTTCAGCTGCCTGATGCACGCCAATCGGAAACCGTTTGGAAACAACACACCAGCACAGCCCGGTCCTTGTGCTCCAAACCCTTGTTCTTTGCTGCAAGGGCGGCAATGGTGTCCTCACACATCAAGTGAATTCTGACATTAAAACATGGCAAAACTCAGCGGAAACCCATAAACTTCAGGCAAGCAGGTCTAAATGAGCTAGTGCAATCGGTTGAAAAAGTGCATCACTATGCAAACCTATACATATATATATATATATATAAAGTTCAACGAAACCTTATCTAGCAGCCTAGCAACGATGCATAAAAATAGTAATACCTCATCTATATATATATATATATAGTCTCTTACCCTTGTCTAGCAAGCAGGGGTTTCAAGTGAAAAATGCTCAGGTCCTAAACTGGGCGACGCTATCTTTCATGATCAGAGGGAAACGGAGTCCTTGCCGAAGGCCTCATAGTCTGCCTGAGCCTCACGCTCCGCTGCAGAGGACTCTGCTTCCATCTCCTTGGCATCGGCGGCCAGCTCCTGTAGCATCAGCATCACCTGGAGATTCCAACAAACGCCGACGAGTACCAAGGCCGGAGCCCAACGATGCCACGATGCCCTCTTTGTTGGTCTCCAGTGGATGGCTATTGGAACACTGGACTTGCTGTGACTTTTTCTTGCACATGCAGTGCTGGCTAGGTGTGATCGATCGTGCTGTCACTTCCAAGCACAACCCAGATCTGCCAAGCTACGCCCTGGCCGTGGTTGTTCTTCTTGTAGCTGCCGAAGGTCTCTGGCTCTGGCTCCTCCTTTGCAACATGCCAGAGGCGAACTGGTGCTGCGTTGAGACGAAGGCCATTGTGCGGCTACTGCTGGAGGCCACCGCTAGACTCCAAAACGTCAGAGACAAGTCTCACATTGATCAAAAAGTTCAGCCCCTCAATTTCCCAAATCAAGTGCCGTCCCAGAGGAACAGAATGAAGCCTCGTGAAATTCTTGAAATTAAACCAAACCTCATCTGGTGCCTCCCTCCCTGCTCCCTGCCTGCAGCAACGACTCCGGCTTTGCATAAAACTCTTGTAGCACATGCATCGCCTTTTTTGAGGAGAACCTGGTCATTTTCCAGCAGTCATCACACGCCACCAAAACACTACACTACACTACACCCTCCAGAAAAAAAAGCTTTACATAATGAAAGCATATAAAAGCCGGCCACTGTCCCATGTTTAGCCGTTTAGCCCACCCTGAGAGGAATCTGCACAGCCCCTGCACTGCCCCCACTGTCGGCCCTTCAAAACATGTTGTTAAGTAAAGCTAGTCTAGCTCCGCCTCCTTTCCCCGTGCCCCGGGGAAGAACGTGCACAATGCCCCCCAAGTCCTACTGGAACTTATCATGCACAGTTGTCTGTTGTTCTCCAAAGGGCTTGCGTTTCTCGTTGTTCCTGGACCACCTTCTGAAACTCAGCGTTTTCTTTCTCCCGGTTCTGCGCAGCCAGCTTCCTTAGAATTCATTCTTCCACGGCCACCCTTCAAGCGCGACGAAACGGGCTTCCAAGGCCCTTTGAAAGAAAGCAACAACGGTAGGAGGGTTGCATCCTGCTCGGCTACTCAAGCCATGGTGCTGCTGCTTCTGAAGCTCCAAAACTTCCCCTTCCAGCTCCTGGGCTGCATAAGGTGTGCTTCAAGCAAGTGCCCTGGACATGAACACAACCTGAATCTGTAGCTTAGCCTTTCTGCAGACCTCATGCAACCCAGCAGGCCCAGAAGTTGTGTCCTTAGACTCCGCCAGCAGAGCTTTTAACTGCTGCGTCACCTCCTGCACAAATCAAGAAGCAAAAAGGGAACAATGTAAGTGAAACCAAGGATATGAAACCAAGGATAGGTCCAAGAAGTAAGCCTATTCTCCACGCACTTCCTGTGATGCAGCATTCAAGCCCTCGCCCTGGCGCTTCTTGGCGTCCGCTGCTAACCTTCAAAAGGTTCATTGGGGAGCTGTGAAGGTGTTCAACATCTCCAAACGTTCCCGAATTGTTCCCCTCTCCATCTCTCCAAAACGGCCGCCTATTCTGATTGAACTCTGCCGCGCAGTAGTCCTTCTTCTTCACTTCATTCGCCTGCTCAGTCTTCAACGCCGAGATCATCAGATCGATCTTTTCTTGCACCTCGTGAACGTGAGTAGTGAACGTTGTGAACCAGTTCTTCTTGGGGGGACTCTTCGGGAACAAACACAAATCGAACTGGACAATGGGTCATGAACCGTGAACCACTAAGAAAAAAGACACGTCAAGCTGGTCTGCAGTTGCACTCTTGCTTTTCCAATCCTCTGCATCCACCGGGAGAGGAAGCTGGTCTGAGCGCTTTCTACCGTCATATGGTCCAGCTCAGCCAACAAAGCACCGCATCGGCCTCCTGTGGGGGGCTGACTTGCTACGTGGGCAGGGGCCCACAAGCAAAGGCATCATATCAAATCATATCACTCAATTCTTCTTAAGGCCTTCAAGATCTTCAAGCACCTTTTTGCAGATTGGAGTAGCTGCTTTCTCCCCCTTAAAGTCTAATTCAAGATCGCCCAAGTAAACGGCACCTCGGTCAATTTCCGGATGAGCTTTGGGAAATCCACAGCTTCGAATTCGCACCGTCTGGTCATCCTTCAGGTGAAGATCTGCTTTGGAACCATCTGGCCAGAACAGCCCACCCTCTCTTCGGCAAGGATACTTGGAGTACCTCCTTGGGTCCTCCAACACACATGCAGCTTGTGCAAGGCATACCAAGACCGTACTAAGACCTGCATACTCAAACACGTACAATGCACACCCAGCACAGTGGAAATTCCTACGGCTGCGGAACTCGAGACATCTTCAAAGCACCTTGAAACGATAGAATTTGCATTTGCTCCCCAGCCTGGGCGTGTAATCGACACAGGCGTACCAAATTGGAGCCTTCCACAGAAGCCTTCACCCGCTCCACACCCTCGCGAGAAATTAAGCGCCGCTGGAGAGCAAGCTGAGATGCCTGTAGATAGCTTTGAAAGTACAGTACGCGTGAGTGTGGCACCAGTGGTGCCTTGCAGGGACACAACTGGCCCAACTTTCGAAGGGGAGTTACTGTAGGCCTTGGCATCTGACAAATGCTAATATATAAATACAAAACGAGAGCTGCAAAGAACCCTAGGCAAATCCCTCCAAATGTTCATTTTGCAAAATCGTTGGCTCAATCCTTAGAATGCACAACTTGCAATGGACCTGCAGGGAAATAATCCAGCAAGACTCCGGGCAAAGATTGCTGAAGGATGCTGAAAGCACGTACTCAAAGAATTCCAATATGTTTGAGCATCCCAATGCCAATTTATAAGAATACCAGGGTGACCCTATCCAGCACTGTCACTGTATTCTGGTCAGCTATCCCAGACCTAATGGAGGGGCCCTGCACCTTGTCAGACACCTGATGGATAAAGGCCGCCACAAAGGGTGGACCAAAGCTGGCCATCTTCAGGGCCGCCTGCACATCACCCTGCCCATCATCTCCAATGAAAATGGCCTGAAGACTGTCCGCAGAGTGTTGCATCTGATCGCAACTCACATGCAATCTCTTCCCGACCCTTGTTGAATTGCTCACAAACACTTCCACCAAAACATCTTACCCCCCAACCCCATCCCAAAAATAGACAAACAAGCAAACAAACACTACCCTACCCCGAGCCGGCCCGCCCAAAGCATCTTCTTCGGCACCTTGGCTTGGCCAATGTCTCTCCCAAGCACTTGCTCCCAGTTCCGGAGCTTCGTCGCCCCAAACTTCCGGAAGTCGCCCCGCAGCGCCGGAAGCAGGTCCCGCAAGCGGCCGTATTGAGAACCTGAAACAAGGATGCAAAAAGAAAAACTCCAGTTCAAGCCCGAAGTCAAGGCGACGTCGCTGCGACGTCAACCGGTCCTTCAAAGTCAATGCCCCACTCAGGGAAGCCATTCTCTCGTGCCACACGTTGGAACTCCAGCGCCACTCTGCTTTTCGGCTTCATGCGCAGAAAGCCGAGCTTCTTTGGCCGAGCGGAAAGGAGCCTCACCAACCTGGGGGAAGAACCACGTCCCCGAGCCAATTCCAACATGAACTGGACCGCTCCAGGATACACCTCTTTCCTATAGCCTGCTTCGTCAACGCCGCCACCACGAGGACCTCCTGAACATTTGATGGTGTCGTCCACGTCAGAGAGAATCCTCAGACTCTGCATGGCTCGTTTTTCAATCAAAGCAATTGCCGTGCTCCATTAAACCTTTGTGCTCACCTCTGCGGGCAAATCCTTCACGGAATTTCGGTTGGTCGAGGATCGTGCAGAACAGAACCTACTCACCTTCCCTACACCATCGTTGAAGAGTTGCCACTGGGACACAGTCCAAGTGGCTGCGCCCCCACGGTGCCCCTCCACCACCGAACGATTCCAGCCGCTGCTTGGAAGGGCCACTGCGGCACACTGCCACCAGCGGGTGCATTCCGTGCAGGCCTGTGCATCAGAACTACCGCAGCCAGCTTCACGGACGGTCCGCTTTGCCATGTCTCCGAACATGACAATTACACGTGACTAGCTGATTTTGCAAGCATACCGCATACCTCCGACAGTCATCAAGTCCAGCTGCTACAGCATCGATTTTTACATAAACCAACGTTCTAACAATCCAACGGGGACCGGGATTTTACTAACTCCGGCAAAGGTTCCACTGGCCCACCCGATTCTCAAACACACGAAGCAAACATATGGAGTACGGTAATTATACGGTGGTGTGGGGACTAGTCTTATGTGTATGTGTGTGACTCAAGGGGCGCACGCCTCCAGGTCGTACACAGTGAATTCTACCCCAACCATCCCCAACCCCCATTACCAACTACCAGTGGGTTATTGTAGTTGCAGTCCTGACCCCCCCTGACAAAAAACCTGTGGCAGTGGGATCTGCTTGGTGGTGGGCTGACAAGGCCCGTGGCGGTGCAGATGTGGACTCCCTGTTTGTGGGGCCTCCGTGGGGTTCAGCCAGCGACGGTGGAACGGGCGGCAGAAACATCTTGGTGCGCTGGGTGTCCGGTTCACCACTAACGGTTTCTGCCGGCACGTGCTTGGTGGTGGGGCGCGTGGTTGACTTTTGGTGCCGGTGGCCAAGGAACCTGTATTTGGCCAATGCGGTGCACTTGCGGCTGGTCCACACACGGAAAGTGGATTTCTACAGAAGTGCATGGGCAGTTTGTTTAGTCTCAAGACAAAATCAAGAACAACCACATGTTAGCACGTCCTATCAACATCAGTCGACCCTTTAAAAAAACAACACCACCTCCCAAACTCACTTGCGAACGGTCCAACGGTCCGCCCCTCAAAGCCCTTCCACGTAGGTGGGGTGCTAGAGGGTAAACAGTAGTGAACATGTGCAATGTGAATTGTGAATGCCCACATCTATACACAAAAAGGTGTGAAAAGAGCGACAACTCACACTATCGTAAATTACGATTTAGCCACGAACTCTCAGTTGTTGACAACGATGTCTGCTATCGAGTGCTTATTTCGGAGACATTTCTTAATACGCTGGTACAATCCGTTGCGATCCTGGAATGGGATTTCGGTACACTCCGGAATTAACGGCATAGTATGTGGAATCGGCGAGAGTTCCAAGCGTACATGATGTGGATACGATTGAGTCGGTTGAGACGAATAGTTTTTAACTATTTCAATGACTGCCGCTGGGTCTGGAAGTACCGGACGAGATGAGATGCCTCCGACAAGACTCTTATGATATCCCATCCTCACCAGGGAAGAAGCACCACTTTTCTTATACTTCGGAAATAAGGGCTGTTGCAAGGTATTCTCTAAATAACGAACAACAGCGCGAAGTGTATTGGCTTGGTGCCAGAGACTTCGGCTCTCTGGTTTTTGGATTTGTGCTTCTTCTGACAAGAAAGGATATGGCTTAGGAAGTTTTTCCCCTTTGTGGTATATCCAAATCGGCAAGGCAAAACCCGTATCGAGTTGAAAAGCTATAACAAGTTCATACCAGGAAATGCCCCAATCTTGGGGAAGGCGAGTCTGATCGGGGTGATGCCATTTGAGCTTTTTCATAAAACTCCAAACCCGGACTGCAGTATGGGCCCCCGCCGGGCACGCCTGTGCAATAATGGTTTCAAGTGGACTATCGAATTGCCAAAAATTTGCTTCAATATTCCATTTCATCAAGACTTCTTGATACTTGGTCACCTCTTCTAGCGCATTATAAGCATGTGTCTCCGCCGCTCTTTTTTCCTTTTCCTGTTTGAGTTTCGAATGTAAACTATTTAAGTCGGCGAGGTATGCGTATAGGTGGGCCAAGACCTGTGTCTGTTGCTTACTGTGAGTACGAATATCCTGACAGGCTGCTTGAAGTGCAGGCATTTCCTGTGCATTAATAATTTTGGCGGCTTCATCTGCAGCAAAGTTTCCTAGAATTGTATAGAGGTCATCCACACCTGTGGCGTCCTCTATATTTCGGTGGGATTTAACCTTAAAGACTTGATGAAAGAGTGGATTCCAAGCCACTTGTAGTCGCCGAAACAAGTCGAAATGCGCGAGTCGGGATATATGGGGAATTGAGCTTCCACTGGTTAGTACCTCAATGCTCCGTTTAACAAAACTCGAGTCAGTGTAGATTGATACTTTGGCTTCTGGGAAGTGACGATGGAAGTACTCTATCAGCCAAACTACTGCTTCTAGTTCACTACGATTGATAGTTTGTGGTCCTTTAGTGTGAGATGTTTGCGAGACAACGAAGTGATCGAGAGATGGGTCTCTAGTGTCATGGGCCACTTTTTGGACTACTGACCAAGCTGCACGACAACAATTTTGTTCACGAGGGAGATCACATGTCCCGTCCGTATAAAATTCGTTGTGAGCTGTGAGTCGAATATCTGGGTGATCCAAGAAAGGACCTGCTCGGCACCATTTAAGACGATTGTAAACCACCTGTTGCGGGTGAATTGTGGCAAGCGGGAGCCATAACAAGTTAGGATGGGACTCTAAGGAATTGACAGCTTGGGGGTGGTCTGTTCGCAAATGTGCAAAATCTGGGCATTGCAACTGCCTGTGCATATGATTATCAATTGCTCCACAAAATTCGCACTTATCTGATTGAGTAGAATCCCAAATCGCCTTTACCGTCCC